CGAAGCTTTTCAGGTGCGCCAGTTGATATTATTCATTCATAGCAAGCTTAAGAATTAATTTAATGACACAAATTAAATGTGACAAGGCAGATCAAAAGAGAGGGAAAATGAGGAGAAAAATTGAAAGAGTAACTAAAAAGTGATTGACATTGTAAAACAAGCAATTAATACTTTTGAAATGTTCACCGGTGGTGAATTGTGAAATAAATTTCATTTAAATGTCATTTCATTTAAACCATTTACTAATAACAAAAAATGTACTTTAATTAAAAGAAATAATTTCTTCATTTCCACAATTTATCCTATCTGTTTAAATTGAAATTCTGTGAAAATTCGAAAAACAATGGGAATATTCCGAAAAGAATGAATAAATTGCATTTAATAGCTAATTAGTTTTGTATTAATAGGTTAAACACTTCCATATATCAGTTCCTTCTTATTTTCAATTTTCATTTTCTATCGATCCCTCTGTTCTACTGGTTCCCAATTGGTGGTTCGTGGATCACCAATTGGGAACTGCGAGGACAATGATGCAATAAGTAGAAAATTATTAACGAAGCTTATTAGTCATAAATAAAACTTTATCCTTTATGGTTGTAACTTTGTCCTTTTTTTATATTATAGTGTTGCTTTTCTCGCTTAGTTAGTGAGTTGAGCGTTCTGATTAAAGTTTATCTTTAAATTAAAAGAATTATTATTTTTTAACATTGTAATTCCTTTTACAAATGAAAAAGTCAAAGTGGTCGTTGGTCAAGAATAGTTTGTGTACTACTGTTCTTTGTAAATTTTGAAAAAAAAAAACAAACACGAAAATAAAACAAGGTTGCAAATGGTTAATGCATGCGAATATATCTTTTAGGATTCATATAAACATATCATTGAACCTGATAATTTCTAGCATAACCTTTCAACCGAATACAAATGAATAATTTCAATTAGAAATTTCTAAAATTTAACCTGAAAGATTTTGTATATCCCATAAAATGACAAGTTATAGTGTTTCTTGCAAACACACATATCAAATAGCTGAATGAAATGTGCTATTAAATTGGAAAATTTTATGAAAGCCTTTGACACACTTATAATTCAATGGAAAAGAAAACAAATTCTTAATTGAAAAGAAGAAATCAAATGAGGTACCATTTACAGAGCCATGATTACAATCGTCTTGAATATATTGAAAATGTTTCGCAATATGAAGAAATGTTAAAAATGATGTTAAATAGAGTGATGAAAATAAAAGCCGAAATATTAACAAAGAATTGTTGCATTTTTATTTTCTTCTGAGAATTAAATTTATCGTTTTCCTGGCAGAAAACTTCCAAAAAATACAAGATCTAACAACCTCTAAAGTCGTAACTTGTATGTTCTTTGCTGTGCTTGTGTAACTAAGCCAATTGTACTTGTTATGCAAGCCTGTTGTTGAGTGTTCGAGGTTATTATAAGGATATGAACGATGTCAACAATGAGCAGATTGTTAAATAGCAAAGATCAGAAAAAAAAAAAGAAATTAAGAAAACACTATGATCTGTACTAGCTACGATAATTAATAAATACAAGCGTTCGATTACTTATGCAATTTGTACAATTCATTTTTCCTCCAGTTTCATTGTGCTTTGGAAGTAAGAAAATTGGTCGATATTT